CCCTGTACCGCGGTAAGAAGCACACAGCGGCCGTGGAGAGGGGAGGCCCTGTACCGCGGTAAGAAGCACACAGCGGCCGTGGAGAGGGGAGGCCCTGTACCGCGGTAAGAAGCACACAGCGGCCGTCTCTGCAGGTTTTCTCACTCTGGATCAGACATGGCTGCCGGATACGCCACAAAGCGAGGGGGGGGGGGGGGCGTCTCATCCGGCTGGCCTCCATTTCAGGAACGAGAACAGACCCGAGCACCTACCTCCCGCTATAAGCATTTTAAAAATTCTTTAAAAAGGTAAAAATAGTGCTTGTCCACAGTTCCCCTTTCATTTGTATTCATGTATTCACAAGCCTCTCAAGGCTCGTCTCGGACACCAGCCCCGTGCGCCGACCCACAGACGCATTTAAGACCCCAAAAAGGCCCCCTGATCCGCTTGAGGTCCATGGGATCCGCCCCCCTCTTCATCCTCAAAGTGTCACCCTCCTAACCCCCACTACCTGTCAGGAAGTCTTCTCTGGTGTCTTTTGGGGGGGGGGGGGCAGACAGATACTCTGTTACTCTGTATTTTCACCAGCACATCGACACACTTCTCAGGGACGCGTCTGAGGTCAGCCGGCCCCCCCGGCAGTGGCCGGCTGCTCTTCATCCCCCAGAGGATTGTCTTCCTCCTCTCCTCCTGAACCTACCACGGATGTTTTTGGCTCCCATCCCCCCCTCCCCAGGGCTTCGCTTCATGCTAATTTTAATGCTGTGTACTGTAGCATCACTAAAAATAACCTGAAGTGAATCAAAGAGAATGTGCTAATCCGTCGTTTCGGTTCGTCACGAGCCGCCGGATGTCTCTGCGTCAGCCTGGGTGAGGGGTGCCATGAGGGACACGGGACTCCAGGGGAGGGGTGCTCAAGGCTGCCGATGGCCCGGGAGCGAGGGGGCTTACGGGCGGCACATCTGCTGACTGGGGGCACCCTCAGACTCTTTGTCGCCCCCAGGAGGACAGTCATTGTAAGTACCACAGTCTATTATTCAACAGCCAGAGACTCAGAGCTGGCATATGGTAATCAACTCAGAAGTTGGGTGTCTCTGTTCAGGAACATTATCAACATAGAATGGAGAGCAAAAGCGAAGGCAGGAGCCTGTATGGCTGGACAGGGTGGAAGTTCAGGTCAGAGCAGAAGTGACAGGACTGAAACTTCAGTGCCCACGAGGGGAATTTCCACACAAATAAACATTACAGATTATTTTAAGGCATAATTATTGTGGTTTCTGAAGCCCATCTGTAAAGCTGAAGCAAATTATGCACATGGAGAAGGTATGGTGCCCTCTGAGAAATCCTGGATAGCGCCAACATGATGTAGGAAACATGTTCTGCTTTGAAGGGGAAGCTTCATCAGAAATTGATGGAGACTCATGCTTACGGGCACTGAGATAACCCACCAGGCCGAGGGGTCTGAACACATGCAATGCCACCATATCGCTGTGGTGACTGGTGACTGGCATCAAGCCACCCCCCCCCCTTCCCCATGACCCACATCAGCGGGAGACTTTCAAGTTTCTGGGTGAGCTTGGCTCTAC